TATCATATTAAATTTATAGCTCAAAAAGATAACATTAAATGTATAATTCTAATCTCAATACTTTTGAATCTGAATATTCCAAATTCCAGGATGCTTAAACATGTATCATATTATGTTGGACAAAGCAAGATCTTAACTTATCATGTTTTGCTATTTTGCTATTATTTTTAAATGCTATTCTTGAATATCTTGCTTATATAATAGATGCAAATAAAATACATCATTGCCAAAACCTTTGAATTAAGGCAGACTACAATCAGTCCCTGTGGAGTTGGCTCCATAATTCAAAACTATCAAGTGAAATTGTGCCATACTGGATTTGCCATATTGTAAAGTATTTTAATTGACTTCTTTCTATTTTGCTTTTTGAGTAAACTATTCCAGTATTGTACTTTTGAAGAACAATATTGACAATGATTTTTTTTTCTTTACCAGGTTTTGTTTATTTGGTGTTCAACAGATTTTCTGGAAATATTCAGATTATTAGATCCTGAACAAATTGTTAGTAAATTCCCTTTTAAAGGTAATACAAAGTACCAAAATAAAACCATTTACTAGGTTCAGTTCATTTATGTGATAACGTTTAAATATATTTCTTGACATTATCTTTCTAATATTGCTATTTGATGAAAGCACATTATTTATGGTTTTGACTGAATGGAAGAAAATGAAAGAAAAAATAGAAAAAGAAAAATTATATCACAAACAGCTTTTGTTTTTCTATAATTACACTGTTTCTAAGTTATATACCTTTTTTATGATATTCATGATAATAAAATGATTTTTTCTGAAATAAACCTGGATCAGACATTAATAGTAGTATTACTTTTTTAGAAAAATGCCAATATTTCTATACTGTGCTAGCTGACAAGATACATTATACAATACAAAATAGTGTGTATCATAAGTAAAAACCTTCAATTTCTAATCCAAAAATCCACCATCTTCTTTTGGGGGATAAGTTCAGGTTATTATACAAATGAATATACAGACAATGCAAAAGAATCATCAATTTTATAATCATACCACTTTTGATAATTCTGTGGTGCAAAAATAGATTTGTTTATGGGTGTGGGTATGTATTAAAAAAGCCTCAGGAGAAATATTTTATTTAAATTTCATTCTCTCTTTATTTCCTTTATTTTTAGCAATTACTTAGATGACCAGCACCTGTTAGCCATAGTTTGCAGAATTTAATAGAAATATTCAATTAGTACATTTAGAAAATAAATAAACATAATTAAACTGGGTATCAATATATACATTAAGAAACTTCAAGGTAAAGTATATTTTAAAAATAAGTATGAGACTAAAACAAATGACTTCAAACAGTATTTTTTTGCAAACATAGAGAAGGTACTGCCTAAATATGGTATGCTTTCAATGAAAACAGTGAAAATACATTTCTTGCACTTTACTTGATCCATTACACTAGTAAAGTGTTTTACTATAAATATTTTAAGATAAAATATTTCAAATATTTCAATATTATTTTTATAATAAAGATTAATTTTTAAAGTAACTAATACAGTCAACAGAAGTACCATGCGTACAACTAATTCTGTGGGATTATCTACAGGAGTACGAATGTTGAAATCCATTATTTCAAGTATTGCATCTTGGAAATAACTTGATATAAATAGGTGCTAGAGATATAGATAAAAATGGCACCTTCAGATTATCTTTATGAAATTTTAGCCAGCCATCATTTTACCAAAAAATAAAATAAAACCATAAAGTCAATTCCAAAGTATTAATTTTTTTGATATCATTCATTAGTCTTTGAGGACCAAAATGTCACAGGGATGGTAATATGGCCTTTCAATATTATTCCAACTCCAAAATAATTCTTTTTAAATGGTATTATATGAAACTAATTTGATAGTTTTTCAGAAATGTAGCCTTTAAAAATATGCTCATAACTGGTTCATGCCTATATTAATTTAGAAAGGTACAATTGTTGAAAGCATGTCAAAAATAATTTGTGCCTTCATTTTATACTTGCAAGAGAAAAAAATTAAATATCATCTCCAAAGTGCAACAGTGTACACTTAAATTAGTCAATGTCTCTATGATAATGAGAATATCAAATCTGACATATAACAAAATATTTCCATTTAGACTATATACAGTTTACAAATTGCTAATTTCGTTAAAAACACAAATCCTGGATAGAGTCATATTATAAAGAACAAATAAACACGAACACCAGGAAAAATTTAAACTAAAAAAGTTTAATTTAATGCCAAGCTTTCGTCGGCCAACTACCGACATCATCAGGGCTTAAAACGGATAAATGGGAGTCTCTTTTATAGTGTTGGTCAGTTTTTGCGCACGGCTCCTGGACCTCGTTACCGGTCCACTTGATAGTCCTAATTGGTCAAACTGCGCATTGGTTGTTTTGTTGATGTTATTCAACGCTGCTACTCCGTTGCTTGCTTCCCTTCCTCCACCCTCCCCCTTTGTACGTGTGTTGTTATCTATCACCCCACTGCAAGTTCTTAAGGTCCGCATATTCCTTCCCCCCCTTTTTTGGCCATTCGTTTCTTCTGTATTCATCCAGTTGTTCCCTCTCGCCCTATTGGGCTGTGGGCTTGATATTATCCTCTCGACCTTTTCTCCTGTCATCCTTTCTGTGTCCATGGGCATGTCCAGCGCATGCACCCCCTCCTATGGTCTCCACTCCCTCTTCCTCCTCTCCGATGTTCATTTCATTTGCATCGCCCCGATCATCGCATTGCAACCTTCATTTTGGTCCGTTTCTTTCGTCTAGTGTGGATCGTACATGTTCCCTCTTCACGGGGGTGTTATTGCATTGTGTTTTTGAGCCTGTCCCCCTCTTTCTCGCATCTCTATGATTGCATGCCGGGTTAGCTGCTGGAGTGGCCATTCGTTCCTCCCCTTTTTCTGTATTTGTTACGTATCCATCGTTGCGATCCTCATATTGCCTGTAGCGTTCTGGGTTGTCCTCTCTCCTCGGTCGCAATCGGGTTTTTATCGTGGGGCTGTCAACACGCTGTCCATTTGGTTCCACCCTGTTGTTTCTGTGCTTTTTTGTTACTGTGCATATGTGAGTACTTTTGTTGTCATTCGTTGGGCAAACTCAGATCTCTGGTGCAAGGGCTTTTTGCCGGTGTGTTCTTGCTCTTGTTCTTTCATCAGGGGGTGTTGTTATGCCCCCTGGGTGTCCTAAGGAATCTGGGGGACCTCCTGCTGTGTTGGATCTCTCTCTCCCGTTTAACAGCTCTCTTGTTCTTGAGCGTGTGCATATCCCCGGGGATATTGGTTGTTTATTGGCAACCATCATCTGATTGTCCATGGGTTGCAGTGGTGCTTTCACTTCCCCTACTATCCTATTTCTTTGGTCTTGTGGCACGTAACTGAATTGTCTTTGCTGGGATTCCTGATTTTGTTTATCCCACGCTCTCAATGCCTGGAGTGCCGGGCAGAGTTCTATGTGCCGGTTTATCGAGTTGTTATCGGAGAGCCAAGCCTCTTTAAGTAGGCGGCCTCCTTTGGTAGTATCACGGGATAGGGTACGCACGTTGGTAAGGTCGAACTGGTGACCAAAATCAGCCATATGCGTCCATACCTGTGAGTGCTGTTCGCAACTTTTGATGGCCAGCTTCTGCTCATGTATCCGGGTCTTCAATCTTTTGGAGGTCTCCCCAACATAATTGCAGGGACAGTCTTTGCAATTGATCCTATACACCACCACCGATTTTTCTGCATTGGGGAGTGGATCTTTGGGGCGCATTATCCTAGAGCGCAGTGTCTGGTTCGGTTTGTGGGCTACCTTTATGTTATGGGGGCTAGTAGCCTAGCTGTTGCTTCGGACACATTGTTGATGTAAGGGAGGGAAACGTGTGCCGCCTGTGGTGATGTCCTGCAGATCTGTGTATTCTCCCGGGGTTTGGGTGGCGCACCATGGCGTTTGATAAACCTTACTGGATAGCCATTGCGTTTGCAGATGCAGAAGAGATGACTCCTTTCCTCTGCCTTTGCTTTGGCCGTGCTACAGTGAGAGTCTATACGTTTAAACAACGTTCTGATGCAGCTTGCTTTATGGGCCACCGGGTGGTTACTCTTGTAGTGGAGGATTCTGTCCGTGTGTGTTGGTTTTCGGTATACTCTTTTATGCAGGGTTCCATCTGGTTGGCGGCTAACCAGCACATCCAGGAAAGCTAAGGAAACCTGACTCTCCTCCTCTGCTGTGAATTTGATGTCTGGGTATACCGAATTCAGTGTGGCCATAAAGCTTGTTTTGTGGCATCTTTTGATTATGACGAACGTGTCATCCACATAGCGGAGCCAAAACTTAGGTTGGTATGTGGTCATCGCTATAAGCTCCAAACGCTGGAGGACTGCTTCCGCTATTACGCTTGAGATAGGGGATCCCATGGGTGTCCCTTTAATTTGTTCAAACATGGTCCCTTGAAAGGTGAAGTACGTTTTTAAACACGCCTCTATTAGTTTCACCAAATCCTCGGTTTGTAGAGAGCCCTGATGTTGTTCCCTGCCCCCTTCATTCAGGCGGTCTCTTAAAGCCGTGACTGCCAGGTCTTGTGGAATGGAGGTGAAGAGTGAGGTGACATCAGAGGACACCATCATCTCATCATCCTCCACTCTTAGGGGTCTAATCCTTTCAAGGAACTCTTCTGCCGATTTTATGGTAGTTGTGCTGTTACTCACAAAATGGCTGATCCGGTTACTCAGCCATGTGGCCAGTTCCGAGGTTGGTGCCTCTGAATGAGACAATAGGGCAGAGGAGAATGCCTTCCCTATGGATCTTGGGTAGTCCATAAAACAAATTATAAATTTGTTTACAAATTATATACATCAGAAGCTTCACATTAATTCAAAATCACCAGTTACTGTTTCACCACAGAATCTGGCAACAGTTTTTCCATTGCATTTTAAAAGTATATTAATAAAATTACTGCTTTTGAGTACACTGCAAATATAAGTGCCTGAGTTGAATCATTAGAAAAGTTTGAAAATTAGTTTCTTTGATAAAATATGGCATATTTTGATGTTCGAAAACCAAGCAAGTCTCTCATTTCATTTCGGAATTTGGATAAATCTTGTCTGAGTTCATTCAGGTTTTCTACTGTTGCCTGATCAGTGCTTTGCATTCTCTGTCTCATGGAAGTCAAGTAACGATGGACTAAACAACACATCACCTTTTGGTAATTTTCATCTCTCTTTTGCTTCAAATTTCTCCACTCCTTTAAATAAATAATGACAAATTAGATAAATTTGTGTGAAATCATTTTAGAACTGAATATTAAACTAAATTCTTGAGATACTCAAAATATCATGAAATCGAACTCCGTCATTACTACAGGCTAACCACCCAAATAACACTCCTCCAAAATGTCACAAATTCCATGAATAAACTGCAAGGCAAATGATGCCGTATAAGACTTGTCAGCAGTTGCATCAAACAAATAACTCAGTTGCAACCTCTGATTTATCATTTAACCATTTCCTCTGGATTAATGAGAACTTTTGACTAATTTGGTTGGTTTTTAATGTTTTTAATGCCTATAGCAAACATACTATAAAGTTTGGGTCACACAAATCATTTTATCCCTATTTATATTTGCAGATAATGCCAACTTATTGAACTCAGGCAGTATATGGATAGAACATGCATATTGTTCAAACTTTCAAAATTGTGCAGGAGCTACCATGCTAGCAA